TTTTTTAATAAATAAAATAAATTTTAGTAAGAAAAGAAAAAGAAAAAAAAAATTGTTTCTTCTTTTTTCTTGTTAGTTACTTTTTATTTCCGATAGATGATAGATACGAAGAAAAAAAAAAAGGAAGGCATTCTTTTTTGAAGATTTTCTTTCCTGTTTTTATGAATTTCAAGTTGTATGAGAAGTTTATTAATATATTTTCAATAAAGTTTAAATCAATATGATAAGAATTTCTAGATGATTATTTTGAATAGATTTAAATTTTCTATAATACATATAAAATGAATATAGTTGAATACTATTTTTAAATTTTGTTTTTATAGTTTTATTTTTAATTTGTCAATTTTGTTGTAAGAAAAATATTTATTTATCTTTATTTTTTTTGTTGATGTTGATTTATTAGTCAACTATGAAATTTCTTTTTTTTTTAACTCAGAAAAATATTCGTTCAAATCATATTTTAACTATATGGGTTCATTTAGGATAAACAAAAAAATGATTTTTTTTTTCTAAAAGAAACGTTCTTATCGTTCATATTTAATCAAACAAGTTTCTGCTCACTAAAATTTATCTTAAAGATATAATGAAATGAAAAAATCTGATTTATTCGATTTGTAGTTTTAATTGATTGAAAGAAAAAAAAAAATTTTTATTTTAAAATTTCTCAACAGTTGATTAATTTTAATTCTTATTTAAATGATTAAAAAAAAAGTCAAGAAAATTTTATTTTTATTTGTTTTTAATTTCGATTCGATTATTTTTTTTTATTTGTCTCTAGTAAATAAAAAAAAACATAAATTGGAATATAATTTCTATTGAATTAAATAATTGAGTTAAATACTTACCGAATAAATTGTCGTTGTAATTTAGCTAAACGTTCTTCTCGTTCAGTTTCTTCAAGAAGTTCTCGAACTTGTCGTTGAAGATCTTCTTCTAATTCTCGATGAATATTAGCATGCCATTGTTCATATGAATTGGTACCTTTTGTTTTTTAAATTAACATAATAAAAAGTTTGGTTTTAAGTAAAAACAAAAAAAAAGAAATATCAATAAATTTTTGTTTTTTTCGTCTCTTGTTTCAAAACAAAATATTATGCTACCGAGTTTAACATTTAAAGATCTATCACTATGAGTATAACTATTTGAAGATGGAAGAATGTGAGGAAATTTAAAGGTTGGTACTTCCATTCATTCATTTACCAGACGTCGTCGCTTATGATGTTTTTCCAATGTACATTGAAAAGATTTAGTAAGTGTACAAAAAAAAATTTTTTTTTTTTACTATTCAATTCTTATCACTTGAATTTCATGTTTTTTCAATACATACAAAATGTCTATGTACCATTGAGATGAAAAAAAAAAAACCGAGTTGTTTTTTTTATTGCAAAAAATAAAATTTAAGGTAGTTGTTAAGTGCAATCAACTAACACCATTTAAATACTCAGTTTTTTTTTCAACAAAAAAAAATAAAATAAAATCTATGTGGTTATATAGTTATTAAGTAATTTCTTATTTTTTGGTATAGTTTCTCTTACTCTAGTAGTTTTTCATACAAAGATAAGATATAAATATTTAGTTAAATCTATGAAAATATTATCTATAATTTTTACCTCGTAGTTGTTCGAAAAAAATTTGTTTGACATGTTCACCTAGATTTATTTCAATATATTCATGTCGATTTTGTCTTATGTTGATTTTCGACATGCTTATCCACCGTTTATCTTGACGTGCATTACCATTTACTTTTGCTTTCAATGCTACATTCGGCTAATTATAGAGAATAGCCTTTAAGCAAATAGAAAAAAGAAAAAGTTCACTAATCATAGTAAAGAAATTGTTCTTTTTTTGATTGTACTCGTGTGATACACAAAAAACAAAAGTGACTTTGAAATCAAATGGACAGTTACGTCATTATTATTATTCTTAGATATGAAATTGGCTTCTGTTTATCTTGTTTCATCAACATTCGAATAATCAATTGATTTTCTTTTTTCTCTTTTTTCTTTCCATTTCATGAATATGATAAATCTATGGAAACTCTATTTGAATTGTGAACATTAATAAATCATTCGAGATTTTTTTTTTTTTTTTTTTTTTTTAAATAATGTTTATATTTTATGAGAGAAGTTTTTAAGTCTTTTTGATATATATTTAAATACTAAACTTTTTATAAAGTTTTATTTTAAATAAAGAAAAAAAAAGAAGTCGAGATTTTCATTACCATCCTTTTCATTTATAGAATTCTTCTATTGTGATTTATTTTCATCATTTTTAAACATAATTTCAATTGAAAAAAAGAATAAAAAATAAACTATTGAACATTGTTTAATAAACGAATATGTTGAGAGTAACACATTGATAAAATTTACTCGTAAATTCTGATATAGACATACTACAGTACTTAAATATAAACAGAATACTTACCTTTTTCTTTTCTATTTATTTTTCACATAATCGTTGTTTGCTCTTCGATTTATATTACAGGATACAATATTCATCAGTTCGTTTACTCGACGATTTTTTCTTATAAACAAAAAAAGACATTTTTGAGATAATTAGAAATTTGTTTTATCTATTTATATGCAGTTGAAATCAAAGTTTTCTAAATCAATTTTAGGTGTATATATATATATATATATATATCTTGTTTCATTTATCATCTTGAAAGACAACATTGAGATGACAGTCAATTTGTAAATCTCGTTTTAAATAAAAATTACATTTTCAAAACTCATTATTATGAAAAAAAAACCACAGTAAACTAAAAAGAACAAACACTATTGCACATTAGAAATCTTACAATAACCTTCATTTCAAGGTCTTGGTCAATACTAATATATACCTTCAGACTGTTATTGACTTATGTCATCTACTATTTACAACTATTGTCTCGAACTTACCTGTTTGATTCATTATCGAATATAAAAACTCACATAGATATGTTTTCATCATGAATATTTTACGATAAGTTCATTAAATATTATTCAAAAGAGACTTATTATAATAGTAAATATTCATTTCAATCATATGTTAATATATAAAATAAATTTAGAATTTTATTAAGAAATCATTTACTCTCTAAAGTTGAAAATCGTCAAGTAAACAATCTGATGAAAATTATATTGATGTAAAGAAATAAAAAGATAGTCTCAAGAATAAATATA